GGATAGCCCTCGTGTAGCTTTGCGCGAAATTCAAAAAACACAAAACAAACAAACATCCACTGTCGTCATATTATACAGGAGGTTTGGAATCTCTTAGAGTTACGTTAGGACATTATTGTCTATCGAAAGATAAATAATTAAAATCATTTCTTTGGTGCACGTGCTCGTCTTCCCTGCGTATATTTATGCTTTTAAGTTGTTTTTTTCGGGAACAGGAAGTCTAACGGATCCAGTCTTGGTATGTAGTCATATATTTAATTTACCTGCATGACTAGCCCCACAGGAGCCTAGTGGTAGTGTTTGTTTGTGTTGTCACTGGAAAAGGGGCATCTAGAATAACTAATGCATCAACGTGTACTTGTCTTTGTTTGTTTTGTCAAATTTCGTGCAAAGCTACTCGAGGCCTATCCACGCTAGCCACTTCAAAAGAAGTGACAGACTAGAGGAAAGGCAGCTAATCAAAACTACACACCGCCAACTCTTGGGCTACTCTTCTACCAACGAATAGCAATATTAACGAGCATGTCCAATGATAGGTTTAAAACTCTTGACTCCGAAGATTGCAAGTCGAGCGCCCCAACCACCAGGCCATGCCAGGCTCCAATGTCTACTTCACTATTATCATTTGTCAAAATATCCTTTAAAAAAAAACAGAAGTCAAATACCCATTTATAAAGTAACGACAGCCGTGCCTAAAGAATGATGGGAGTATAGAAAGAGAAAAAAAAAGCATTAGTCGGAAGTCAATAAAGTGGACCAACAGCAAAAAAAACTAGCATTGTTGTTTTCTTTTCAGGAGCATGAAAGAATAGACACCAAATTAAAAACAGTTATGTGAGAATCCTACAGCTGTCTCGTGATTTCGAAATATATAGAGCAGTAATTTGATATATCTTTACGTGTACAACAAAATACGTTCAATATTTGGCTCAATGGTAACCTGCCAACTTTTGATATTTCCGATAACCTGGATTCTCTGTCACAACAACAAAATTCCCTTTTGATATCTGATTGCTATCGTTGTACGTTTAATATCCCAAAACAAGTTTCGATCAAGGGTTATTGTTTTTCCCAAAACCGTTTGACGAATTTTAAGTATAATGCATTTTACTCGAGATTCGCCAGTCTTTGAGTAATATAAATAAACCGGCATTCAGTTCAAGTTGTTTTCCTTCGTCTTCCTAAATCCGTTGTTTTTTCGTTGTTTCCTAACACGTTTGCGCAAAATCGAATATTATACGGTTCTTTGCTTGCACGCGGTTTATTCTTGGATGTTTCATTGTTACGTGTCAGATTTCAGTCAATACATATTTTACTTCCCCAGTAAAAGTCACTGTGATACTATAACTAAAAACCATTTCAGTTCCCAATGTTTCTTGTTTTCTTTTTGTATCAACCAAACTTGGACGCGGACTCAAAACTACATTTGCTATGTTTGTACATATATAATACACGATATGGATTTATCGGCATGAGTAGATTATCTTTTTAAAACAGCAGTTACATTACAAATAAAAAAAAAAAGCCACTGAATGTGCAGCCTTTTCACTGCCTCGACAGCAATGCGTGAAGTTGTCACGAATATATTAAACCGTGTTCTGTTTTCAATTGATCCGTCACGTGGGCCACAAAGGGAGTGGCTCACGTGTCACGCGAGGTATAGAATATGCTGAACGCGTAACTTTTTTTGTTGTCGGATATGAGTAAATGTGATATATAAATAAATCGATAGTTCTAAAGCTATCAAATACATAAATTGTAAATAGGAGAAATGTTAATCAACACTCTAAAACAATAATGATGAAATTAATATAAATCAAAAACACATTACAAAGAAACTCAAAATTCAAAATTAATTTGTCCATTACCAGCTCTTGTTGTCATCATTATTAAAACTCATAACGGATAATGTCTGTGGCCATAGCAACCAAACGTGTTGTGGACATCCCATCTATTAGACAAGATCCAAACGCCGATGTCAAACTAGCCACTAGCTGAGAAGAATCGGTTGAGGAGTTAAGTGCTTGAACACACAACATCTCAACTCCAACTGCTTTTCGCTTTCTGCAGCCAGTTGTGGGATGACGGTTACTCTTAATATTTAGATACAACCTTAAAGTAGAATTAAACCACCCTAAAAATTCTACAACGTAAAACTCCCAACCCCCACCCTTTTATTTAATCATCACAAAGTGATGTTAAGCAGAAGTAAAACCCTCACCTTAATAGTTTTTAATTCCCCCCCCCCCTTTCCATTGAAAATTTGTTCAAGTATAAGTATAAATAAACTGGGTGAGATGAGACAAGCCCAGTTGTCTGAAGTATACTGAACAAAACACTTACATATTTAAAGTTAGCTATTCATACGCCAAGGATGACCTTGAATAATTAACGACCTCTATGTTCTCGACATAAAAATATGGTACTATTTATTGACACAGTCAAATAATAATTAAGCAGTGGGTTATTTATTAGTATTTCAATGACCTTTAACATAGCCATAGCTAAGTATTTACCAGTGTAATATTGACCTTTGACATAAAGATATTTGAGTTATATATAATTATAATTATTTTTTGACCCCGTTAATAAAAGGTGGCGCATCAAAGTAATTTTGATAATCTGTGGGCAGAGCCAGCCTAGGACTCCTCGTCATATTGTTTTTAAAAGTGTAAAACGTAACGGTTGACCCAGTTAAGAACATATGTACAGTTTTCGTCACACATTTTTCATTGCCGAAATGCTAAGAGGGTCCCCTCGCTTTGGATCTGGTCCCTCATTGGCTAAGGCCGACTCACAACAACAACAACAAAATCGTTGAATCGTTTTTGTGAGTGTAAAACACTTAAATACACCATTTCGATTTTCGTTACCTCACTACTATAAAGGTTTGGTTTGGTTTGGTCTGATATTTCATTGGTGGTAGTGTCCAGGGTCACTGATGAGGAGTGGAATTCTCGAAACTAGGTCTTGCTCACAGACACCCCCCAATGAAAGTATTGATCATTCCAAGCTTTTACTTGTTGTTAAACAAATGTTTAAACAACTCTATTCAAAATCGTACATTAAGAAGTGCGACTTTATAAACATAGACAGGGGGTTACCTCACTAACCGACAAGTGACATGCGCTGTTTAAAATATCGATATCCTACCACACCCACAAAATACCTCCTTACCCCCCGCCCCCTCCAATGATAAGACCCTAGAACCGTGCCTGCAAGTGAGAGTTAAGAAGCAAAGATTATGTTAACGATACACAGATTAGTTGCCGCCCCCTAACTTCTGTGTTAAAGGTAACTCCATAATTTGGGATTATTGCTTTAGAACCTCTCCCCCTCTCCCTCCTTAGTGGCTCAGCGATAAGTTTAAGGAGCTTATAAGGCAAAAAAAAAAATTGCTCTTAAATACCCGCGTTGAGCAGGGCACAGAAAGCCAACTCATTGTGAAGGTTTGTGCTGAACAACAAACAAGTTATTTCTTCAGATGATGTAATTTTTCTTTAAGGCGAATGAAGAGCAATTAATTTTTAAAGTCTTTATGTTTGCGACAGAGATAAGCAATAGTGAAAACATCTCTCTTGTCTACAAGAGTAATTGTCTTCCTGTTTTAGTTTTCAGTGGTTACGGTACTTGTAAAGTTAAAGTAGATGGCGACACCGTCGACTGTTTGTGACAAAAATCTCTGGCTTAAAGGCTTCCGAAGGTCTTAATCCCCGAACGTATTTTAACGTGATATAATGGGCGTTAGATGACCATTATTATCGTCGATAGTAGCCTTTTGTGTTTTTGGAAGCAATTTCACCGTTTCGTTTGGTTTGTTTCGAATATTCGAGCAAAGCTACACAAAGGATATATGCACTGACTGACACAGAGAAGGCAGCAAGTCAACATTACCCACTGTCAACTCTTGGGCTACTTTAGTGGGATTTGACGGTCGCTTTTATAACGCACCTAAGGCCATATTTTGCGGAGCACGATTTTTTTTTTCATTTTTGTGGCAACGAACTCAAACCATCAACCTTTGGATACACATAAAGACACACTAGCCTCGAAGTCACGCCCGGCCCCAATCATACTGATTCATACAGTTGTAGTAATATGTTACGAAACGCTGTGAAGCTCCTACTCTATTGATTTAATGGATTAACCAGCCAATATTACGTTTACTTGCACTGTTCAGAGTATTTGATATTATTTTTTGAGGCTTATGCATAAGATAACTGAACAGGAAGATAACGTATCAAAATTTTTAGGAGATACCTTTTTACACTTAAACGTAATCGTGTAAGTTTTTTTTTTCCTGTCATTTAAAAAGCTAATTCCTAATGGCTTACTGCATCACTTTACGCTTCCCAACAAATATTTGTCTAGTAACAAAAGAATATTGTGCGGATAATGAATCTTGTAGAGGTATATTACAAAATATTATTTCTTTTTACAGGCCATCCAAGGGTCACGAGCTTCAAAGGAAATAAAACCAGTTAATGAAGATCTGTCTAGGTAAGTTAATAGTATCGATTGGGATATTTTCCATTCACACAGTTTCAAGAAGAAGCAGTCGTTTCTCGTCTGCTTTTTTTTCTATAACTTAAAGATGGTAGAGCCTTGAGTAAAAGAATAAAAACTTGAATTAAGCAAACCAAGTGTGTTTTATTACACACGTGAAAAGTTGTTCTTTCTCTCATAGTCCAGCCCAGCTGACGAGTTCTAGTGTTAAACGAGAGGTCTCCTGGCTGATAATAAATATTCATAGAATTAGACGGTTAGACACGCACGAAATAATTGTTTGATGCTAGGCCTTCTTTTTTAACTAGCATACATCATTAATTGTTTGATGCTAGGCCTTCTTTTTTAACCAGCACACATCATTAATTGTTTGATGCTAGGCCTTTTTTTTAACTAGCACACATCATTAATTGTTTGGTGCTAGGCCTTTTTTAACTAGCAGACATAATTAATTGTTTGGTGTTAGGCCTTCTTTTTTAACTAGCAGACATTATTATGCTTTATTTTTTAATTCTTTGCAAAAAAACAAAAACAGAATGAATAAAGTGTTCGCAAAAAAAAAAAGAACGAAGTTTAGAATAATTTGCTTTCAAACAATTGTCTTGTTGTCCTGAAGGCTAAGCATCTGAAAAAGATCTTATTTAGGCCTACAAACAATTGTCTTGTTGCCCTAAAGGTTAAGCATCAGAAAAAGATCTTATTTAGGCCTACAAAGCTTTTACTTCCATCCGCTTTCTTTCTTCGAACACTCAGTTTTCAGTACAATGAAAAGTTTAATAGATAGCAAACAACATAATTTATAAAGCATAACTCGTTATCTTGTAACGATTACTTCCCAATCGTGTGTAGTAAGTACGTCGAATTAAAAAAGGAGGGGATCACATGGGACAGTATGGCTTCAATGGTTTATAGAACGTTCGATTGACTAGAAAATTTCACTACTGTATAGTACTGAAGTAAAAACTGAATAAATAAGAAGTTTATTTAACAAAGACCAAAAGTTTTGTAAGACCTTAAGCTATTTGCATCTGCACTAAAGCTTATCGAATTAATTGAAGACGGGCACTTACTCTCTAAATTATAATAAAAGTAAGATTGAAATTAACTGCCCTTTCTCTTTATTTGTATTTTAATGACGTCAGAGAAGGTCTCCTTCAGTAAAAGATCGAACGAGTGATTACAAGATTAACCTTAATGTATTTAAAACAGATTTTGTTTTTTTTATTCAGTTTTTGCTTTTGATATTTATTCCGCTCGTATTTTATTCGTATCTAAGATCGATAAATCAATCGAAATCCTTTTGTGCAGACAAAATAGCTTATGTTGTTTTTCTAATCTCCATATTAAATTATACACGTCGAATATGCATTGTACGTCTCAATGGACTTGTATTATGTTTGCACAGTCAGTTCGTTAGGCTTAGCTCCGAGTACCAGTCTTTAAAGTTATTGTTAATTAATTTTAACTGACGTGGCCTAGTTCTTCAGTATAACTTAATTCTTCGCCTGTTTGAAATTTTAATTGGCTTATGTTCACAACCACGACTAAGATCTAGTCCCCCCCCCCCTTTAAAAAAAATCCAATTTTCTTTTGTCGTGTCAAACTAAAATCGATATTTTTTGCAGCTGTTTAGTGGCTCGAGACGGTTTTTGTTCCACAATATTAACTCAAAGCTACACAAAAGGCTTCCTGCGCATAGCTGTCACTAATTATATACTGATAGATTAGAGAGGAGGTAATTAGTCAACAGCACCTACCGCTAATTCTTTGGTTACTGTTGATTGATGGATTAGTGAAAATCTGCAGTCACTCTTGTAGACTACCCACGGCAACGGGCCGCGAACCATGGACCCTTCGATTCACATATCAAGCACATTATTCCGAAGGCCACACTGTACACGACCAAAGACAGAGAATAAAGATATTCTAATTTGTGTTTAGTAAAAATTTAGATTTTCAGAGCTGTCTGTAAATTTCAACGTTGTGGAATGTTGTATTTTCATTACCGATTTTTTAATAACTGCGGCAAAACACATTGCTGTAATATGTTGTTGTTTTAAACTTCCTTTGCTGGTTTGGTAAATTAGTATTCCTAAGTGTTGTGGAAGGGTCGAAAAAAGGTTTCTTT